AAGCGTCTGTAAAACAAATGTAACTATAACTAAAATAAAGAGGCACCCTACTGAACGGGAAAAAAAAAATATTTCTACCCCATACATTGGACAAGGGACTGATACCAAAGATATACAAAGAGCTCAAATAATTCAACAAAATGAAGACAAATAACACATTGAAAAAATGGGCAGGAGAGCTAAGTAAGCACATCTCCAAAGAAGACATGCAATAGGCACAAGAGAAAAATATTCATTATCAGTTATCATCAGGGAAATGCAAATCAAGACCACAGTGAAATAATACTTCACACAATATCAAAAAGAACACAGACTACAAGTGCTGGTGAGGATGTATAGAAAAAGGAACACTCCTACATTGTTAATGGGAATGTAGACTGGCCAGTACCTATGGAAAGAAGTGTGGAGTTTTCACAAAAGTTTAAAACTGGATATGTCATATGACCTAGAAGTTCTGGGTATCTATCCAAAAATACATAAACACTAGTGTGAATGGAACCTTGCACTCCCATATTTATTGCAGTGCTATTTACAATAGCCAAGCTATGGCAACAACCAAAGCACCTAAAACCAGATGAATGGATCAAGAAGATGTGGTATATACAAACAATGGAATACTACTTAGTGATTATAAATGATAAACTCATTCCAATTTTGGCAATTTGACAGAGCTGGAAAGGAGTATGGTAAGCCAAATAAAGCAGGAGAAGAAAGGTAAACACTATATGGTTTCACTGATATGTAGAATATAAAGAAACCAAATTAAAGGGCCAAAGACAACCTTTAAAACCAGCACTTGAAAGCTGACCATAGACCAGAGGAATACAGAGCGGGAGGGAGTAGAGGAAGAGGGGTAAGATCAAGGTGAAGAGAGAGCATAGTGAACACAGAGGGAGGGATATGCATGACTTAGTGGTGGGTTTACCACAGTAACTACATCTGAAGGTGGAGATCCTCTACTTCCAAAACACTAACAAGGACATAAATCAATGTCACTTCAACAACAACAAAAAATAAAAAAGAAGAAGAAAGAGAGAAGAATATAGTCTTCCCATGTTCATGGAGTGGAAGATTTAAGGTTATGTTAATCTAGAAGTTAATCTAGTTAATCTAGAAGTTAATCTAGAAGTTAATCTAATCTCCAAGTTAATCTAGAAAATCTATGTCATTTTAATAAAAATCTCAGCAATTTTTGACAAGTGGATTATAATTTTTATTTTAAAATTTGGCATCAAGAATAACTAAAATGTTTTAAAGGTGAAAAACAAAGATAAAATAATTAGACCATTTATCTTCCAATAGGCTTTATCACTTTCAATTTTCTTCTGCTGATGGAAAAGCCACTTGGCTCATTTACTTGCTTCATAGTCTGTTCCAATTTTTAGAAGGTATTCTCACTTAAAATGTGGGGAAGATGACATCAAACATGCCCCAGAATGTCTAAACATCACGACTCTGAGATGTAATGTCATCAGGTGAAACACATTAAGATCAGAGACTTGTCCTCTCCTGGAAAACATTTTCACTGCCTCGTACGTATTGATGCCTTTCCAAGGCTTTCATATGGATGATAAATTCATGGTAATATTTTCTAAATCACTAAAATCATTTGGAAGTTAGTTTAGTTAGTGAAGATAAAACAAAATGAGAAAGTTATTTCAGTATTTCTCTGTCTTGATAATATTGTGAGACAGATTACAAAGTGGCTGTGTACATGTTCCGTGGAATTATCTTTAAAGTCATGAATCAGGCAGTGAGTGTTTCAGAGACACCTACATCTAACTACACTATTTTAAAGAATATATAGCATGAGGAATATTTTCATTTGATGGGCAGGAGAAGAAGAAATCCAATGTTTGCTTTGATGAGAAATGGCTCCATAAATATATCAATAAAGTATTTAGAGAGGGAAAGATTCTTCTTTGTAGTAAATTATAATTTAATGGCAGTAGATTATTTTGTATAAGCTAATAAATAAAACATCATGAAAGAGAAATTCCAGCAGTGTTATCTAACTACTCTTGCCATTTCCATTCCCACTATTGCTGCCAGTAGCTGTGAACATCATGTCCAGAGGAAGGCAGCTGTGATACCTGAGAAACCCCTGTGGGGGAATAGTATGGAGATGGAGGTACCTTTGGAGAAGACCAAGAGGGTAGAGGAAGGAGAGGCAAAGGGAAATTCCACATGTGAGTCTTTGACAAGTCACATAACTCTAAGAACTTCTGTTTTCCTCATTCGCAAAACTGCAAAGAGCTTTATGGATATTAACACTTCAGATAAGGGGTTACTTATTCTGTACTACTCTTATAAGGCTATTATGAATATTTAAACAAGATCTGCTAAAAACACATTACACAATGTTGGCGTGATATAAGGAAGTCTAGTCACCCTTATAACTTTGATGAGAAATCAGAAACAAGAGTAAATGGTGTTGCAGATGACCTGGATGTACCCAAACCCAAAAACACCAGCGTGAAACAGTGTTAAATGGAGATACTGAAGGATCAGATGTATTTTCTACATCTTATAAGTCAAGGAAAAAGAATCTGTCAAATGAAGGTATTAATGAAAAATGAAAAACATTCAGTGACTGTCACCCTCAGTTTCTCATAAAACAAGTAATAATAAACTAGAGGAAACCCTAACATGTGAAAGGAGTCTTTTCCAAATTCCTTCTGAAGAGTATAAAGCTTCTGAAAGGTCAAACGATAACATATTTCTTTCCTATTCATGTTAAAACCTCCAGTCCTGATATAAAGGAAAAGATTTAATTGCTCAAGGACAGGAACAGGTAAGACTTTTTTTCCTTTTATTGTCATTCCCTTGATTGAAAAACTCTAATGAAATCAGGAGACATTTCTTTTTTAAAGCCACTCAGCAAAAGTACTTATTTCAGCTCCTACAAGGGAACTGACAAAAACAAGTGGTAGCCAGACTACAATGATTTAACTAGGAAATTTAGTGTAGTGTGTTTGTGTGGTGAAACATCATATCAAAGCCAAATTAATCATGTTGAAATGGCATTGACATCTTGGTTGGGATGCCTGGTCAAATCAAAGATCATCTATAGGGTGGTTAATTAAACTTTTCTAAATTTCATCATGTCATGCTTGATGAAATGAATCAAATGTTGGATCCAAATAGGGTAGGAAAGAGCCCAAGACTATGGGGATGGCTCATGGTTGAATTGGTGGAGGGAATTCTACGGGGACTACACCTGAGAGGAGAAAGCATACATTGTATAAAAAAGGAAGAATGATGTAAAGAAAAAAAAATATATATATAAATGTTTTGCTGAACAAGTTGAAAATATCATCCACTAATCTTACAAAACTGATTCCAAAGAAAATTCTCAGACTAATTTTTCTGCAACTTGCTCATAGTGTGTATACAAGTTGACAAAAACAAACAAACATGAAATTCAGATACAAATAGGTAACCTTCTTGAAAAAATTACTCAAAAGCCTGCAACAACTGTGGAACATTTGACAATCCAATGCCATTGGTTTCAGAAGGCAGCAGTTTGGACATTTCTAAGCTTGACGTGGTAATACAAAGTGTGGGGGCGACAAACTGAATTTTGACTATTTTATAGTTAATCTACCATGTGAGTTTGCCTATTTTTGCCTAATTATGTAAATTATGGTTGTATTTCAAGGGCATACAGTCAAAATTAAGTCTCATAGTTGAGAGATGTGTCTACTTCCTTCAAAGAAGAGGCTGCATCTTTTAAAAAAGCATATCCCAAGAATGGTGGCAAACAAATCTACTTATCCAGTTATACTTTTGAATTAAAAAAATATTTTATTGTCCCTTAAAAAATTCTCCATTGTGATTATAAGGGAATGATTTAAATGGAATTAAAGGTATTGTATCAGAATACCCAATGGTAGAATAGCATATCAACCTTGGCCTTACCCTTTAATTTCAAGGCTTCTAATACCTTTGAATCAGCTGTTACATCACTCACTAGCTTGATTTCAATGTTTTTCGAAGTCAGTTGGAGCAGCTTTTCAAAAAGACGTTGACCCTAGAAAAAATATTCAGAGACAAAGAAAGTTAGAAACCTAAAAAATTACATTATAAATAGGTATAAATAGACTTACTAAATATTAAAACCATTCATTCAAATTAAAAGGCAAGTACTTCAGCAATTGGTATTCATGGAAGATTCTTCACAAAAGTTTATAGTATGAATATAATTAATACTATGGATACAATTACATTATTCTTGAGTATTGTGCAATTCAACAATTATTGCAATAATAATTCCAATTCCAAATGGAAATGTACTCTTTCATGAACTCTAAAGTGACTTATCCATGAAGATACAGCAGGCAATATTTAACAGTTGTGTTTAGCCCCAGAGAGACCTGGATTCCAGCTGCTTTTGCAATTTACAAACTATTTGTTAATCTAATTAATCTCCAGTCTCTTCCTCAGTAAAATGTAAATAATATTAGCATTTATTTTAAAAGGTTTTTGTGAGTATTAAAGAAGTTAGTAGTAAGTATCCTTGAGGTGTTGGCTATTATGGGAGGAATTAGCTCTTCTCAGTGATTTGCCTAATTGCCTTCTTATTTTAAACCTGTCTTATTGAGACAAGAGAAAGACATACAAGGAATCCAAATAGGAAAGGAAGAAGTCAAACTATCACTATTTGCAGATGATATGATAATATACACAGAGAACCCCAAAAATTCCACAGAAAAACTAATTCAACTAATCAATCAGTTTAGTAAAGTGGCAGGTTACAAAATAAACACGTAAAAATCAGTAGCCTTCCTATACACAAACAATAAATCTGAAGAAGAATAATTTAAAAAAAAAAAACATCCCTTTTATTATAGAAACAAACAAAAAAATCAAATACTTGGGAATAAATCTAACAAAAGAGGTAAAGGACCTATACAAAGAAAACTATAAAACACTGTTAAAAGAAATAGAAGACACAAAGAAATGGAAAGACATCCCCTGCTCATGGATTGGAAGAATAAACATTATTAAAAAGGCCATCCTACCAAAAGCAATATACAGATTCAATGCTATTCCAATAAAAATTTCAATGACATTCTTCAAAGAAATAGAACAATTATTGATAAAAATCATATGGAATCACCAAAACCCCCGAATAGCCAAAGCTCTCCTGAAAAAAAAAAAAAAAAAAAAAAAGAAGGAAATGGAGGCATCATACTCCCAGACTTCAAGCTATACTACAAAGCCATAATCATCAAAACTTCCTGGTATTGGAACGAGAACAGAAACACAGATCAATGGAATCAAATGGAAAATCCAGAAATAATCCCACAGATTTATGGTCAACTGATCTTTGACAAAGGAGTAAAGAATATGCACTGGAGCAAAGAAAGTTTGTTCAATAAATGGTGCTGGAAAAACTGGGTCGTTACATGCAAAAGAATGAAGCTCGACTACTACCTCACACCATGCACAAAAATCAACTCTAAATGGATTAAAGAACTAGACATAAGGCCTGAAACCATAAAATACATAGAAGGAAATATAGGCGAAACACTACATGACATGCACATCAAAGACATCTTTACAGACACATCACCCAAAGCAGTGATAGTGAAGGCAAAGATAAACAGCTGGGACTACATCAAATTAAAGAGCTTCTGTACAGCAAAAGAGACAATAACCAAAACAGAGAAACCCCACCGACTGGGAGAACATTTTTGCACACAACACTAATGACAAAGGACTGATCACAAAAATCTACAAAGAGCTGATGAGACTCAACATAAACAAAGAAAATAATCCAGTCAAAAAATGGGCAGAAGAGCTAAAAAGAAACTTCTCTGAAGGGGAAATGCAAATGGCCAACAGGCATATGAAAAAATGTTCAACATCACTTGTAATCAGGGAAATGCAAATCAAAACTACAATGAGATACCATCTCACACCAGTGAGAATGGCACATATTAAAAAAAAAAAACTAGCAACAACAAATGTTGGCAAGGTTGTGGAGAAAAAGGAACTTTCCTGCACTGCTGGTGGGAGTGCAAACTGGTCCAACCACTATGGAGAGCTGTGTGGAGATTTCTTGACCTACTAAACATAGAGCTTCCATATGATCTAGCAATTCTACTCCTAGGTGTTTACCCAAATGACACAGAAACATCAATTCCAAAGAGCACCTGCACCCCTATGTTTATAGCAGCACTATTTACAATAGCTAAGATATGGAAACAACCCAAATGCCCAAAAATAGATGACTGGATCAAGAAGATGTGGTACATATACACCATGGAATATTACTCAGCAATCAAAAAGATAAACACATGCAGTTTGCAGCAACATGGATGGAGCTAGAAGAGATCATGCTCAGCGAAATAAGCCAGAAAGAAAAAGAGAAATACTGGATGGTCTCACTCATAGCAGGAATTTAGAAAACCTAAATAAGAGACCAGGAAAAAGACTAATCAGTGCAAAGTAATAATCAAAATCAACAAGCAACTATAAACCAGAGACACACTATACTCCCTCCATGGGGGGGAGGGGAGAGGAAGAACTACCTAGTAAGGAGGGGTGGAAAGAAGAAGAACTAGAGTCAAAATAAGGGGGGGTGCAATTGTATGGGGAATATTACCAAAATGCATACATTGTACAAAGATGAAAAATGATGTAAGAATTATATAAAATAAAATATTAAAAAAAACTTGTTTTATTGAATTCAACTACACTTCTGTTCAGCAATCTATAAGTACCATAGCTTAAAATACTGAAATCAAAAAGACACAATACAAATAAAGGTTTTTTTCCATTTTTAATAATCATATTTTTATTTTATACATCATTGTTCATAAAGGTTTTTTCTTATAATTTTTTTCAAGCATATACATTTTAAAGTAAATTTTAATCTCTAAGTTAACTGGAAGTGGTATGTCCACATTCATTACAATATCACAAATGAGTGGATTGAAAAAATTATTCTGCTTATTTTCCCTTTTGCGTTCTAATGGGGTCCCTCTTCTAATTATAAAATGAAATTGGTCTTCTTTTATTGATTTTTTTAGACTTTTTCTATTCGGTCACACACTCAAATGCCCACAGGGGCCAGACAAGTAACATTGCTTTGGTCTTAACGACTCCAAGCAGCCAAGTTTCATTTTATTTTGATAAGGATGGATGCATGCACAGAGGCTTCCTTAAACTTAAAAAGGTTGCCCAAAGTAGAGATCATCAATTACTCTGCACCCAAGAATGTACAGGTAGCCTCACCACAAACCAGGTGGTTCCTATGATATATTGAGTGAGTACATGAGGCTATTGTAAACTGCAAAATCAGGTAGGATGAGCTTCCCTGGTGGCACAAGGGGTTAAGTGTCAGCACTATGAAGCTATCTGCAACTACCACTGTCTAAGTTTGTTCCCTGTCAGGGAGCTACCCACATGGCACAGCAGACCTCTCCTGCTTCCCCTGCTGCTCCCTTCAGCAGTGTATTTCAGTCAATCCACCTGTTCTGCTCCCTATTCTGTCTCTGGTGAATCCTCTCCCCACGTGGCACCTCTGGACTGTACTCCAGCTCTTGTATGCATAAATAAGCAAATCTTAAAAAAAAACATAAAAAACAAGGAGGGAGAGAAGAGGGGATATAGAGAGGGTAGAGGAGTGGAGAGGACAGAAAAGGACAGAAGAGAGACAGACAGGGGAAAAACCCTACTTGCTGATTTCAGTATTAATATAAATTTCAAAATCGCTAAATTGCTACGGAGAAGGCGCACATGTGGGATGTGAGGGGAGATTTACATGGTGGGGCTTTGCGGGTCTTCCACAGACAGCTACTATTTCAGCTTTATCCCTCCTCTCTTGTTACACACATTTGAAAACTTGATGATATTTACAGGACCCAGATCCGGGCTCATGGTCATTACATATTCACAAAAGTTGTTTGGTATTATAAAAGGCTTATGTGCTTTGGTATTGTGTGAATTTCAGTGGTTAGGAATGTTGGTTAAGCCAGTATTTTTAAACAAATGCATGTTTTTTTTTATTTCTGCCTTTAGTGAACAAGAGATGTGTGTGTGTGCATAATATATGTGAATATATATACAATGATTATATATAAAATGATTTTATATGTATAATAATGACTATATTATTTATACATATATATATAATGAGATCTTGTAACCTATGTATATATCTGACTCTGTTTTAAATTGATTCCCACTGTGTTATTTTTATGAACTTTAAAGAAAGAAAATTAGAATTCTCAAACACGAATGACAATAGAAACCATAACCAACAGACACTGGCAGATTATCATTAAGATTTATTTTTACTTTTAGTTTATGCTGATTACTTACACCATGAAGTCTTAAACATTTTTTAACATATATATATATATATATATATATAGCATCATTCTTCATTTTTACAATGTATGCTTTCTCATCTTGGTTATAGTGCCCGTGAAATTCCCACCACCAATTCACCTGTGTACCATCACCATAGTCCCTTGTGTTCTTCCCAGCCTGTTTTGATCCTACTTCCCTCTCCCCCCTGTAGAATGTCTTTGGTTATAGTTGCCCATTGATTTTGATATTTGCTTTATTATAATTACATTTCCCCCATCCCTTATTTGGATCCTCTACATTCCTCCTAAAAGTGCAACCATCTGCTATTTTTCTTTTTCTTTCTGGCTTATTTCACTGAGCATGATCCCTTCCAGTTCCATCTATGTTGCTGCAAATGATACAAGTTTATCATTTTTGATTGCTGAGTAATATTCCATTGTGTATATGTACAACATCTTCTTGATCCAATCATCTATTTTTGGGCATTTTGGTTGTTTCCATAGCTTATCCATTGTAAATAGTGCTGTAATAAACATAGGGAAGCAGGTGTCCTTTGAAATAATGTTTTTGTGTCATTTGGGTAGATCCCTAGGAATGAAATTGCTGGATCATATGGAAGCTCCATTTTTAGCAGTTTGAGGAACCTCCTAACAGCTTTCCATAGTGGTTGGACCAGTTTGCATTTGCACCAGCAGTGTAGGAAAGTTC